CCAGCCACTCCTCGGAAGGAAGGTTGGGCAATCCTACTTCCGTAGTGATACTGCCTCGGAAACCCAAGGAGGGGTCGCTATGAGTTGGGGCTGACTTGACGGCACATAACAACAACAACAGTAACATGGAACTACCACTTGTCTGTCAGTTTGTTGTACTGTGGTAGATTGCATGTTGCTTTGAGGCTAGAAGTTATGCCACAGGTACTTCAAATACCAGCAGGGTCACCCATGGTGGCCAGGAGCTTCCAGACTAATACAGACTTGGAAGAAGGAAGGGGTCATCCATTTCTCAAAGAATTGGCCAGTGAAAACTTTATGAATAGCAATGAAACACTGTCTGATACATTACTGGAAAACTTTATAAACAGTCCTGAAACAATGTCTGATACAGTGCTGGAAGATGAGCCCTTCAGATTGGAAGGTACTCAAAATATGACTGGGAAAGAGCTGCTCTCTAAACTAGAGTCAACTTTAATGACATGGATAGAGCAAACCTTTTGGGGATCTTCATTTGCTGATGGGGCAGAATTCAAAATGGGAAGAAACAGCCGAAAATAGCCATTAATCCATTGTGGAATGTACAAAGTATGAATCTAGGAAACTTGGAAGTAGTCAAAAATGAAATGGAATGCATAAAAATTGATATCCCAGGGATTAGTGAGTTGAAATGGGCTGATACTGGCCATTTTGAATCAGACAATTATATGGTTTATTATGCTGGGAATAACAAACTGAAGAGGAATGGAGTTGCATTCATCATCAAAAAGAACATTTCCCCATCAAAAAGACAAACAATCCAATTTAAAAATGGGCAGAGACATGAACACATACTTCACCAAAGAAGATATTCAAGCAGCCAATAAATGCATGAAGAAATGTTCTCAATCATTAGCCATTAGAGAGATGCAAATCAAAACAATGAGATACCATCTCAGCCCCGCATTAACAACAAAGTTGAATAAGACAGAAAAAATAACAAATGCTGACAGGGATGTGAAAAGATTGAGAGTTTCATACACTGCTGATGGGACTGTAAAATGATACAACCACTGTGGAAATCAGTATGGTGATTTCTTAAAAAGCTGGAAATAGAAATACCATTTGATTCAGCAATCTCATTACTAGATATATATCCTAAAGAAGTGAGAGGCAGGACATGAATAGATATATGCACATTTATGTTCATTGCAGCACTATTCACAATAGCAAAGAGATGGAAACAACCTAAGTGCCCATCAACTGAGGAATGGGTAAACAAACTGTGATACATACACATAATGGAATACTACGCAACCCTAAACAATAATGTAGAATCTGCAAAACACCGCATAACATAGGTGAACTTGGAGGACTTTATGCTGAGTGAAATAAGTCAATCACAGAAGAATAAATATTGTTTTAGTCCACTACTGTAAAAAGTCAAGGGAAAGTTTACAGAAAGAAAAACTTTCTTTGTTGGTTACCAGAGATGGGAAGGGAGGGAGGGGAGGAAAAATTTCTAGATTGGTTGAAAGATATATATATATATATATATATATATATATATATATATATATATATATATATATATATATATATATCACACCTGTCAGTGACAGAAGACTATCCATACACCTATGAGGAAAGCCAGTTAATATTGCTTTTATTCAAATTATGCACCAACCACTAAAGCCAAAGATTAAGAAATTGAAGATTTTTACAACTACTGCAGTCTGAAATTGACCAAATATGCAATCAAGATGTATTGATGATTATTGGTGATTGGAATGTGAATTCTGGAAATGAAAAATAAACATCAGTAGTTGGAAAATATGGCCTCTGTGATAAAAATGACACTGGAGATCACATGGTAGAATTTTGCAAGACCAACCACTTAGTAATTGCAAATACCTTTTTCAACAACATAAAATGGTGGCTATACACATGGACCTTGTGACATGGAATACACAGGAATCAGACTGACTTCATCTGTAGAAAGAGGTGATGAAAAACAAGGCCAGGAGCTGACTGTGGAACAAACCATCAATTGCTCCTATGCAATTTCAAGTTGAAGCTGAAGAAAATAAAAATAAGTCCCTAAGCCAAAATATGACCTTGATTACATCCCACCTGAATTTAGAGACTATCTGAAGAATAGATTTGATGCACTAAATATCAATGACCAAAGACCAGATGAGTTGTGGGATGATGTCAAGAATATCATACATGAAGAAATCAAATGGTCATTAAAAAGACAGAAAAGACCAAACTGGATGTCAGAAGAGACTCTGAAACTTGTTCTTGAATGGAGAGTAGCTAAAGAGTATGGAAGAAATGCCGAAATAAAAGAGCTGAAAGAGGATTTCAAAGGACAGCTCAAAAAGACAAAATAAAGTTTATAATGAAGTATGCAAAGACCGGTAGTTAGAAAACCAAAAGAGAAGAATACACTGGGCATTTCTCAAGCTGAAAGAACTAAAGAAAAAATTCAAGCCTCAAGTTGCAATATTGCAGGAAGCATCAAAAGAAGAAGGAAGGAATACACAGACTCACTGTATCAAAAAGAATTGGTTGATGTCCAAATATTTCAGGAGGTAGCACATGATCAAGAACCAATGGTACTGAGGGAAGAAGTCAAAGCTGCAGTGAAGGAACTGGCAAAAAAAAAAGGCGTTGAGATGTTTGAACAGATGCAGCACTGGAGGCATTTACTCGTTTATGCCAAGAGATTTGGAAGACCTGGCCAACTGACCGGAAGAGATTGATATTTATGCTCGTTCCAAAGAAAGATGATCCAACAGAATGTGGAAATTATCCAACAATATTATTAATATCACAAACAAGCAAAATTTTGCTGAAGATACTTCAAAAGTGGTTGCAGCAGTATATTGACAAGAAATTTCCAGAAATGCAAGCTGGATTCAGAAGAAGACATGGAGTGAGGGATATCATTGCTGATGTCAGATAGATCTTAGCTGAAAGCAAAGAACACCTGAGTTTTACTGACCATGCAAATCAACTGTGTGGATCATCACAAATTATGGATGACATTGAGAAGAATGGGAATGCCAGTACACTTAATTGTGCTCATGAGGAACCTGTACATAGACCAAGAGGCTGTTGTTCAAACAGAACAAGGGGATACCGCATGGTTTAAAATCAGGAAGGATGTACATCAGGACTGTATCCTTTCACCATACATATTCAATCTGTATGCTGAGTAAGTAATCCAAGAAACTGGACTATGAAGAAGAATGTGGCATCAGGATTGGAGGATGACTTATTAACGACATGTGATATGCAGATGACACAACCTTGCTTGCTGAAAGTGAAGATGACTTGAAGCACTTACTGATGAAGGTCCAAGACTACAGCCTTCAATATAGATTATACCTCAACATAAAGAAAATGAAAATCTTCACAACTGGAGCAATAAGCAACTTCATTATAAATGGAGAAAAGATTAAAGTTGTCAGGAATTTCATTTTACTTGGATCCACAGTCAACACTCATGGGAGCTGCAGTCAGGAAATGAGATGTC